ATATCTTACATGTGCATACATGTTTATAATACAATACAAAAGGTTTCCAAACATATTCCCTGAGGACTGTTTTTGCATTTGCCTGTACATTTTTTTTTTTTTTTTTATTTTTTAAACACATTAAAAATATGCCTCTAAATCCACAAAAATTGGCCATGGGAAACAAAAAAATCAGAAGCACATGTAATAAATAGAGCTATTTTAACATTTGAACACTGACCCAACTCTAAAATCTAGATCCCCTTTAATCCTATTTTCCATGTTCTTCAGACACACGTTTGCCCTTTCATTCAGTCAATTCAAACATAAATTAAGCAAACATGCAATAAACAAGTTTTCATGAATACGTACACTGGGACTTTGCATAGAAAGTTCTTCAGTTCTAGCTTGCTATGGACTCGGAGGAAAAAACCCTTCAGCAGAAACACACTAACTTGACCCATTCTCTCTCCTGCTGCCCAGTTACTTGTTGACACCACAGCATGCGGCTCCAACTGAACGTTCAGACACAAATGTTTGCATGCAATGTCATAACCTGGATCACATTGCTGATGCGGATGGGGAAAAAAACAAACCCAAAACAACCAACCGATCCCCCTCACAACGTATTTTCAGAAGAGTATATTTAAGTCACATCAGTTAGAAAATGCAGTTCATAGCATAGTCAGATGGGAATGAGCAGCAGTGGGAGGAAATCCCTTAAGCTGCCAAAAACTTCAGCTTTGTGAAACTATCCTCAGCATTCATGGAAAGTATTCAAGGCGCTGTAACTGCAGTTCTCTTAATCCCAGTTCATATTTCAACATGCACTCAATGAAGTGCAGCAACACCAGGTAAGATGAGAATAGACATATAAGTATGAAAGTTTACAAAGACCTTGCAGTTTGTTTTAGAAATGTAATTGTGTCTTTGAATAAAATACACTGAGGGATAATTTTATTTGATATTGCTTACGTTAAAAATTAATCATAATAAACCTAACATTGGCAAAATTATACTTCTGCTGATTCCAAAGCCTATCATCAAAAGTTATTTTGCTTTATGGCATATGAAGCTTCCTTTACAGTCACTGGAAAGGTAAAGGGGATGGGAACACCAAGACGCACTGCTGTATTAGAACATCAGTGCTCCACACTACTGCTTCCTGTTGTTAACCTATAATTAGAGCAGTTTTCTCCCAGATAGCATCTGCTCTGGATAGCGTCTAAAGAGGACGAGTTTTGTAACCACAGATACAGCATCTTTCTCTCTTCGATAAGGTCGCATTGCACAAACAGAGCTACTAAGTTTACTACACAGCATGAAATAAGCTGTAGCATGCTCAAGTGAAGGAATATCATGATTTCAATATGAATTATTTTCCCCATTTGGAACACTCAAGTCACAAGGGGTTTAACTAGTACCCTTGTATTGATTGCTTATCTGACAGCTGACAGACTGCATCATCCTAAGTATCCTACAGAGAGCACAACACATACCTCTATCGCATAGAAATCTGCCTAGATACCACAGCAGCAACACACTACCATTAAACAATTTTTGCAGATTTAATACCTAAAGAAGCATATTTTGCTGTCTGAGGACTATAAGCAAGCTACTTAGATTTTCACCACATAGAGTTAAAAAAAAGATTCTAGAAAAAAACTGAAAAGGAACTATCGGTGGCAAAAAGTGTTTGGAAAGATAACTATAATGCCAAATAAACAATTTTAAGGTGGAACATATTACAACTCCAACTGTTTGAAACGATGGATAACTTCCAACGTCAAAACAAGCAGTGCATAGAAAAAACCCCATAGTTTTAAGCCCTCTTCACTGCTTAGTAAATAATTTTAAGCATCTCTAATAAAAAGTAACTAAGTAAATTCTGCAAATATTAGTAGCTTCTCATACATTTTGATCATCTTACTTTTCTTTCTCCAGCAAAACTAACCTTTACAAGAATGCACTTCTCAAACTTCAGTGTGTCCATATCCTTGATTTTACCTTTTCATTACTATAAAAAATATAAATAGGTAAAATAGATCAAACAAAAAAGCCAATGAGCAAGGGAAAATGCGGAAAAAAGGAACAAAATAGCCATTAGAAAAAAAGTTGGTTTAGTATGAACAACAGGCTTATAGGCTGGTTCTATCACAGGCTGTAATGGCAACTTTAGCAGCACATAAAATTTGCAGTGAAGCCATACGGGCACCAGACAGCTATCCCCACAACTCAACACATACTCTTGTTTAAAAAATTGAAAAAAAAAAAAAAACAAAACAAACAACAAACCAAACCTCATTTGAAAGAGCTATCACCTATTTGATCCTCCACAGGAAGAAAATTGCCCCTGTCATCAGGTATAGCTAAATTGAAGTCACAACACTACATGCCACCAGCAGCTTAAGCTAAAATAATATTGAAAATAAATAATAATAATTTATATGCAGTATTTTTCACACTGAAGTATTTCTTCAAAACTCTATAATAAATACACCACATTACCAGAAAAAAAGAGCCACAAAATTATTTAATTTAAAAGAAAGTAAAACTTAAAAACACCTTTTCAGTCCAGGTTTCTTCTGCACCATGTTTGCTGGACTAGAAACTGAACTGAGCCTGACATGGCATATGAGACTAAACCAGGACAGAAACACATAAAAGAACTCTAAGAATAAGCATAACAAAATTGAATATACTTATAAAGAAATAGGACACACTTAGTAATTAAGCTTTTGAGCTTTGAATACACTTCTGATGATGCAAAACAATCCCAAATTCAGCATAAACACCAGAATATAACTGAACTGAGCCTACCTCATACTTAGGCACAACCTGAGTGATTTACAATACAAGTTAAGTATCAGGTCTTAAACATCAAAAGTAACATCATAAAAAATACATTCTAGTGTCATAACTGCAGCAATTTTCTTGGTATTTATGACTCTGAGTACTAGAATTCCACAACACGTAGCAGTATATACATAAACTGAAAATATAACTAAAAGAAGTTATCAGACTGCTTTTCAATAGTACATATTCAGGGTGAGAGGATTCTTATGTTTTCTATAGCATGTTTTAGTTTCAGCAAATGAATTAAAGTGCATACTGATGTTAGATAAGGCAGAGGAGGAAAAAAAAACAAAAACAACCAACCAAAAGCAAAAAAACCCAAAACTTAATGGGAATCCCGTAAGTTTTAATAGATTTAGAATCTTGCTAAAAAACTTAAATCAAAAAGTATATTTTTGTGGAAGCTTCCATTTTAGCATTCTACTTTAATGCAGTTATGCTTCATTATCCCATGTAATTCATAAATACTTCCAGTTATATAAGGTGGAATTATTCTATTGATGTTTAAGGAAATAGTTGTCAAAATAATTCTGAACAATAAAATTAATACTATCTTTTTAAATAATTAAATTTAGTACCTTTAAGAAAGAGCAATAGTTCAATTAATGATTTATAATCATAGAACATATATCTTGAACAACAGGAATTTTTTCCAAGTCATTAGAGAGAGCTAGGCATGAAGACTATTCTCTGGATTTACTTTATTCGTGTTTCGGAAGGCACCTAACATTTCCTGTCACTCAGCAAGATCCACCCATGCAACTGTTTGCACATGTAGAATGTCAACTCTGACTATCATGACAATGCCCGAATACAATTGCACCAGTAATTATTCAAAAACTGTTGCTATTTTCAGTCATGACGTGCATTTCCCAGCATTGCACTGCTTTGGTGAAGTTTTACTGTCATATATACCATTACTAGATTTCCACAAGATGGTGCTGTAGTCCTATTTTAGAAAGTATCACCTATTTTCTGTTGAATTGGTCTAACATTTCGAAGAAAATCTCATTCCATTTCATTGTTAAGATAATGAACAGTGTTTTGCAAGGTCTATTTTCAATTAAGGAGGAAAACATGTTAACATCATTTAACTTTCCAATTTAATTTTTTTTGAAACTTTTTTCTTAAACTGAGGAAGTTCTATTGCAAAAGTCCCAAACCCCTCAACTAAAGTTTAAATAACATAATGGATCACTGTATGTTCTTCTGTTTGTATGTAAAATAAAGTCAATTTATATTCCATACAGTTATAGAAAAAAAAATCATAATTACTGTTAAAACATATAAATCACTTTTTACAGCATAATGTCAAACAGCTGCTTTTGCCTTCACTTCCAAACTCTGCCAAAAAAATCCACTGGTTTTGTGATATCAAACTGCAAAAGTGTTTTTAAGTGAAGTGAGTAGTATAGCACAAAGAAACCTTAACATGATAGGCTACCCATTCACAAAGAGTAATAAATAAATAAATCTTATCAAACCTCACACATCTCTGGTTTGATTATATAATGCTTATGGAAGTCTTACATCTATACTTATGTCTCTGAAGAGAAGTTTTAATATGGCTTCAAATCATAAAAATGTTGTGTATCTTTGTATACTGGATGGTCTCCATCTGTGCTGCTGGTTTTAAAATGTGTTGGGTAAGAGCACTAAAACACTCAACACATCTCTTGCAGTCAAAGTCTGTGGACTTGCTTGCACGTTTTAGTGTTTAGGATCAAACTGGCCCTTGCTTTGTCAGTGTTAATGGAAGACATAATGTGTTGGTACTCTCCAGCTCAGCATGAAAATTTATATTTAAAATAAAAAAACAGCAAAAAAGGTACATATTTGAAATTGTGTATTTAAGTTTTCATTAAGACTTATTCAACAGTACAGATGGTAAGATGGTATGTAAGAAAGCCTCTTGGGTGTAATATCCAAGTCCCAGCTGGAATGTTTCCAACAGGATGTAAACCACAGTCCTCAAGCCTACACTTTAAAAAACATATTACTTAGCACACTGCTAACAAATGTCAACACAAAAATACACTGCTGTAATGACTTCACTTTACAAAAGTGGGGCAGGAGGGTGGAAGCTATTTGAACAGTTTTTAAAACCAAAAATTGTGGCCAGGGGGAGGGAAATCAATACACAGATGCATTAAAAAATATTTATTCAAAGGAATAAAAGCACTGGTAATCATTACAAAATTGATATATTAAAAATTTAATGCTGTACAAACATACATATGAGTTCTGATAACCATAAGTCTACAGAGACCAGCTCTGAAGACCTGTGCTTTCAGGTCTTCTCAGAGGTGTTGCTTGATGTTTTCAACAATTCTGAGGTTTCTTCAATTCTGAAAATAAATTTGTTTATGCACACACATTTATTAAAATGTGGTAAGAAATAACTGATTTGCCTTTAACTTTCTAATGAATCCAAAATACTAAGCAGCATGAAACCTTAAGTTTCCTCTTCATCCCCTCTTTTCCTCTGCAATTGGTTTGTATTTTAAATTCCTACCACATATCAATAAACCTTAAGTATACATAAAGAAAGTAGTAACCCACACAATAAAATTAAATCACAAAAGCTTTTTTCAGGCCAGGCATTTTCAGAAATCACTTGCTAAAGAAACATTATACAGCAATGCATCTCCTCAGGTGTAATAAAAATCTTTCTTTCAAAAAAAGATTTCATTACAGATCTCAGGACTAGTATCAAATACACCTTAATGCAGTTATCATAATGCTTTGGCTGAAAATGGTTTTATTTTCCCTTAAATAATAAAAAGCAGACAAAAATATTGTAGTTACTTTTCAGGAATGAAAGTTGCCAGTACCAGGGAATTCCTATCCAGAAGATAAATAATATTCCTATTCCTTGTCAACCAGATTCTAAACACTCTTTAAGCTCTAGTTAATACTATTAAGAATGCTTTCTATTGCTTTTTAGAAACCAAAACAGTGACTCATCCCACAAATACAGAACTGTAAGTGGATTTATTATCCAGTGGAGTCATAAGGAAATGCCACACCTGATGTAGAGACCTTTGAGGTTTGGAACACATATGTACGTTCTCTATATGCCTTAGTCCAGTACAACTCCCTCCTGGGAAATGAATTCCTGCTGCCCTTTCCTATTACTTACATTTTACTTATCCTTTCCATTCTTTGTCTTGTTGTCTCCTGCAATTTAAAAGCAACAAAGTTAGTGAACTCTTCAAAGCTAACATTCTTCAGATGGACTTTCAACCTGAAAAATTCATAGAGAAAATGTGACTTTAAGCACTGTTTACATATCAAAAAGATTTTTATGAGACAGACCTAGATGTAGTTTTGCATAGTTTCCTTGTTTTTCACAAGTAGTATATACAACTAAAACTAATGCTTACTTGTTCTCTTGACCTCGGAAAGGAAATCAACTAAGCATTTGCCAGTTTTACTTACCTTTGAAATGTCTGTCAGATTATGAGAATTAATGGTCATGGCTTCGGGAGATGGGTCTGTGGATAATAGTGAACTGTATCCAGACAACTGATGGAGACACTCTGGCATCTCCTCTTTCCTCTCTGTATCTATGGAGAAATACTTGGGTTTGTCACCTTTGCCTTTTTGCTCTTATTGCAAGGTCAGCTATCAGCTAGCTTGATTTACAGTATGTAATAACAGAAGAGAATGTGTTGTTTAGAAAGGGAAAAAGAAAAGCTACTGGTGAGGGTCCAGAATAACTTTCTCATTTTCTTAAAACAAGGTAAGTGCAGTATACTATATATAATACACACAAGACAAAAAATCCAAAAGGATTACTAGGAATGCTACCTTTATCCTGATTACAGTAAAATCAATACTTAAGATTAAGTCTAATTATTGGGTCAAACATTTAATAGTAATTTCAAATAGTTTATTTTAATTGTAAACTGCCTGTTGAAATATGTCTTTAATTTACGCTAAGTAACCTGTCTTAAAAGCAGCAGAAACATAAACAAAATCATCACCTTCTTGCTTAAAATTTGTATCAAGCTCTTGCTGGTTTCCTAGCTCTCCTCCTGTTGGGATCAGTTTAGCACCCATTCAGCAGAAACAGAGTTTTCTTTTACACTGGGAAGGCTTTGATACTCTTTGCAATTTTAGATTACTATCGTCAGGGAAGAGGATTTAGTATTTAGAAAAAGAGAAAAAGTGTTTCCATATCCTTATTTTTAGAAAGGCCACCATCTATGGATCATACCTTTGCAAGTTATTTAGCTACACTATGCTGTATTTAAAATCATATTAAATTATTTTTGATCAATTAAAATTAAAAATTGTTTCCTCTGTACAGCTGTGATTCCTGAAGAGCACTTATCCGAGCAGCCAGGGATCAGGTTGGGAAAGATAAAGCCCTGATCTGGCCAGGGACGTCAAGGGCAACAAGAAAAGCTTCTATAGGTACATCAGAGATAAAAGGAAGACTAGGGAAAGTACAGACCCTCTTCGGAAGGAAACAGAAGACCTGGTTACCCAGGATATGGAGAAGGCTGAGGTACTCAATGACTTTTTTGCCTCAGTCTTCACCAGCAAGTGCTCAAGCCACGCCACCCAAGTCGCAGAAGGCAAATGCAGGGACTGGGAGAAGGAAGAACTGCCCACTGTAGGAGACGATCATGTTTGAGACCATCTACAGAACCTGAAGGAGCACAAGTCCATGGGACATGATGAGATGCATCTGCAGTTACTGAGGGAACTGGGAGATGAAGTTGCTAAGCCACTATCCACCATATTTGAGAGGTTGTGGCAGTCTGGTGAAGTTCCCACTGACTGGAAAAGGGGAAACATAACTCTCATTTTTAAAAAGGGAAAAAGGAAGACCCAGGAAACTACGGGCCAGTCAGTCTCACCTCTATGCCGGCAAGATCATGGAGTAGATCCTCCTGGAAACTATGCTCAGGCACATGGAAAATAAGGAGGTGATTGGTGACAGCCAACACGGCTTCACTAAGGGCAAATCATATCTGACAAATTTGGTGGCCTTCTACAACAGGGTTGCAGTGATGGTGGATAATGGAAAAAGCAACTGATGTCATCTGGACTTGTGCAAAGCACTTGACACTGTCCCACACGACATCCTTGTCTCTAAATTGAACAGACATGGATTTCACAAATGGACCACTTGGTGGATAAGGAATTGGCTGGATGGTTGCACTCAAAGAGTTGTGTCCAATGGCTCAGTGTCCAAGTAGAGACCTGTGACAACTGGCACTCCTCAGGGGTTGGTACTGGGACTCGCACTGTTTAACATCTTTGTCAGCAACATGGACAGTGAGATTGAGTGCATCCTCAGCAAGTTCGCTGATGACACCAAGCTGTGCGGTGCGGTCGACGCACTGGAGGGAAAGGATGCAATCCAGAGGGACCTTGACAGGCTGGAGAGGTGGGCCCATGTGAACTGTATCAAGTTCAACAAGGCCAAGCGCAAGGTCCTGCACGTGGGTCAGGGCAATCCCAAGCACGACTAGAGGCTGGACAGAGAATGGATTGAGAGCAGCCCTGAGGAGAAGGACTTGGGGGTACTGATTGATGAGAAGCTCAACATGAGCCAGCAGTGTGCGCTTGCAGCCCAGAAAGCCAACCATATGCTGTGCTGCATCAAAAGTGTGACCAGGAGGTCGAGGGAGGTGATTCTGCCCTTTTATTCCACTCTCATGAGACCCCACCTGGAGTACTGCATCCAGCTCTGGGGTCCCCAACGTAAGAAGGACATGGAGCTGTTGGAGTGAGTCCAGAGGAGGGCCACAAAGATGATCAGAGGGCTGGAGCACCTCTCCTATGAAGACAGGCTATGAAGAGAGTTGGGGTTGTTCAGCCTTGAGAAGAGAAGGCTCCGGGGAGACCTTATAGCAGCCTTCCAGTACCTAAAGGGGGCCTACAAGAAAGCTGGAGAGGGACTTTTTACAAGGGCATGTAGTGATAGGACATGGGGTAATGGCT